ATGTGGCCTGCAGGCTGTAGTTAGAGGATGCCTGTTATAAATCTTCCCAACTTTCCTCTCAGTCTAAAATTTTTCTAAAATGAAGTTTGTTCTAAAAAAGTTACATTAGGATGTAAAATTCTGATGAATAGAGACATCTTTGGAAAGCCTTTCTAAAATCAAGCAAAAAAGGTTCTTTACTCCATATTAACATTTGCCACTGCTGTATTTTTATGATTGATGCAAAGTCCTTTTTTAAGACATTTTCAGCTTAAACAAGAGTTGAATTGGAAAATATTAATGAATCTTCCTGATATGTCACACTTCCCAGACTCTGCACACAGCCAGAATTATCAAAGAGTGAATGAGAGGCTGAAATTTGTCTATGTGCTGAGAAACAATCAAGAATTGATATAGAAAGTCAGTTTCCTTGCCATCCTCTTAGACCTGGGAAGGGGCAGGATGGCTCCACTCCACAGGGAGGGTAACATAATCAGATGCTTCCTTCCCCAACCTAATTTATACCAGTGAGCTTAAGACCATAAATTCACTTCACACATCTCATTTCACCAACTCCACTGAAATGAATTTACTGACCCATCCTGAGGGGCGGACCATGCACCCCCAGCGGACTGAGGTGTAGCTCATTACCAACAACTGTCCTCAACAGACCAGTACATCACTGAATTTGATCCCTAAATACCCTGGGCCATAATCAAAATGGAGTAAGGAGCAAATCCTAATTTGTAGTTTGGAAAACAACTCAGTGTAGTCAACTGAGTAACTTATGGTAAGTTTTGCTTATCTTTCTTCTGCACCAAGTATCAGTAAGGAATCCAATAATTAAAATTGCCATTATGGGTGAAAGTGTTGTAATTAAGAGTTACAACAAAAGCGTACTTACAGGCAAAACCACTTTAATGGCAGACACGTGGCTCAAAATGATTTTTCCCCCCATTTTACATTGGAATCTCTCAAATTTTGTCCTGCATTGCTATACTCTTTCATTGTGACCTTGGACAAGTTCCTTGGTCCTTCTATGCCTCATTTTTGTCATTTTACAATGGGGAATAATAATAGTACTTATTTCTTGGTGGTGGTGTAAGAATTAATTAAAGTAATGTTTGTAAAAACTTTTAGCACAGTACCAAGTGTTGCAAAAGTATTTACTTAATTCATAAGATATCCCCTGCCCAATTAAAGTCATCCAAAATAATGATAAACCTCCTGATAATATGGTATGGCAAAAACACACAAAAGAATATTCAGGTACCATCTAAGAAGAAGGGAACCTCAGGCACAGCAGGTCTTTGAGGGGGCAGAAGAAATGTAGACAGTTTTCATCAGAAATAAAAGGACTCAATGGAACCCTCCCACATTACTGGTGGGAATGCAAAATGGTACAGCTGTTGTGGAAAACAGTGGGTGATTCCTAAAAAAGTTAAACATAGAATTATCATATAACCCAAAAACTGTACTCCTAGGTATATACTCAAAAGAATGGAAAATAGGTACTCAAATACTTACACATGCATGCTCATCACAGCACTATTTATAATAGCCAAAAGGTAGAAACAACCCAAATATCCATCAGAGGCTGAGTGGGTAAACAAATTGTGGTATATCCATACAATGCAATATCGTTCAGCTATAAAAAAATGAAGTACTAATACATGGTATAATGTGGGTGAACCTGGAAAACATCATACTAAGTGAAAGAAGCCAGTCACAAAAAGTCACAAATTCTATGAGTTCATTATTAGGAAATATCTAAAATAGGTACATCCACTGAGAAAGACCAATGGTTGTGAGGGGCTGTGGAGAGGAGGGAATAAGGAATAGATGCTTAATAGGTACTGTTTGCTTTTGGGGTGGTGAATACTATTTGAAAATAGAGAGGTGGTGGTTGCGCAACATTGTGAATGTACTAAATGACACTGAATCGTTCACTATAAAATGGTGTTTTAAAAAAATACCTACATCTAAAGATAGGACAGTGAGTGCACTGTCTTTATTACAGCTGAGAAGGTAGAAGGACGCCATGCTTCTCTTCCACTCACCTGAGAATTCTTTACTTAGAAAAGTCACTACTGTTCAGCACTTCTAGGCATTGGTTTCTTCATCAAGAGGAAACTGAAGTAGTATTAGGTGACCACAGAGATCCCTTCCAGTTCAAATTCCAAGGTAAAACAACTCAACATCCTTCTTTCTCCCCTGCTCCTCCATATGCTTCAAAATGACCGAATCTGCACTGCAGATGCACTCTGGAAGACAACGTTGTAATTAAATTACCGGGAAATTAATTTTGGTTATCATGGAAAGGCATTTTAATATTCATTATTATAATGACACAAATTAATGGACAAATAACTAAAACAAATGCACTCGAACAATTAACATTGGGCTTTGCCTCTCTGATGCTCAGACTCAGAGCCTGTGCCTGGCTCCAGCCTGTCTGTGCCCCTCTGTGTAATCGCACACTCCAATTTTTGCCAGTCACAATATATCTGGCTCCTCTGCCAAATGCAGCGCTGGCAGCCCCGAGCTGAGTGGGAGGCCCTTGATTGATTAATAAGTGCCCTTGCCAAGCAGGGATGGCGCCAAGGGACTGAATTCCTCTCTCAACTGCCCATGCTTTGCAACCAAAGTAATCTAGAATAGTTTAAGGCCATCAAACAGTCACTAGAACTTGCTTAGAATATTATTCTAGTTAGGACTAGACTATTTACAATTTTACTCTGAAAATATTGAAACGTTATTTGAGTAGTAAGCCAAATTCAGCCAGTGCTGCAACATAAAATTTTGGGTCAATATGTTCATTCTGGAAGGTGGGTGTATATTTTCTTGTATTTTACGAACTACCACCCCGTCCACTGGCTGCTGCAGGTTTCCAGTCCTTTGTAAATTCTCTCCTCATTATTTCTAAGTGTATCAGGTGTATCTCCAAAGAAACTTCAGCTAGAAAAATTTCAGCTACCTACTAAGTATTTTCTGCCATTTATCCCCTTTTAAATTCTGTCCCTCAGGGGTATCTACTTCTGAGGTCTACATAGTCCCTAAAGCTGCAGAAACCACAAGCCCCTGCCTACCAGGGGCCACATGCAGGCTGCCTCACACCAGGCTTCTCCTGGTCACCCTGTCATCCGTAGTGTCCCTGGAGGAGATCACTGGAGGGGCCCGAGTGGCTCCTGCTATGCAGGGTTCCAGCAGAAGTGGGGAGGAGGGTCTTCCTCCTTTTTGGTATTGAACTCCATTTCACTCCTTGCTGCAAATAAGCAGTCCTCCTGCTTTCGCATGAGGTCTCCTGCTCCCGGACTCAAACCTCCCCCATGGCTGGATAGGGACACAAAGCCAAGAGTCAACGCCCCGCAGAACTCCTAACTGCCCTCTCCACTGGCCTCTGAGGTTTTGTGCCAGGCCAGGCTAATGTGTCTGACACTCTCTTCCAGTGAATTCTCTTTGCGGAGCCTCCCCAGTCCTTCTTACAAACGGACCATTTCTGGAGGCTTCCAAACAAGCCCCGTCATGCCGAATCCCATGTGTTGGTTGCCCTGGCTCAGGGTCAGACATTGGGTTCCCGGTAACTGTTTATTAGGCACCTACTATGTGCTGAGCACTGGAGTTCCAAGTATGCCGGTCTCCTGTCCCGGTGGAGCTGCCATGGAATTTAGACAGCAGCTCCTTAAGCAGTGGCCAAGTGGAGCCTTTACTCCAAGGAGAGGCACCTCCTGCCGAAAGGTCATAGCAAAGGTGCCAGCGATCACCTACTTGGCAGACAGCCTCTCTCAATATAGCTAAAAGTTGCACCAAAGTTTCGTAAGCGCTCCGTTCACTGTGCTGAACACCCCTCAGGTTCTCACTTGGCCTCGCGCCTCTGCCGGTTTCCTTCCATCTTGTAGCAGCAGCCTTTCCTCCCCACTCTTCGCTCCTGGCGGGACCTCACTCCACTTTCCCCTTAGAGGGAGACAGGAGGGGGCTACTGGAAGGAGAATGAAAGTGAAAAAGCAGCAGGGGATTGTGCACACAATAAATCATACCTGAAAAGCCTGTGCATTCTTTTGTTCAGCTTACACGAAGAACCTGAGTGCCCACTAATGTGAAATTAAAAATATGGAAATGGCTTTGCATCCAATTTATGAATCTGTTTTTTCCCTGATTTTGATCTCTGGTGTTGAGTAGGAAAGGGAAACAAAAATCGATAAAGCAGTCAGCTTATCTGTGGTTAATTAAAAAGTCTTCCAAGTGGTGTCCACCCCTCGGATGCAAGTGCAGCTGCTTGTGGGAAAAGTTGAGAGGACAGACCAAGAATACAGTGTAGCTTTGGGGGAACATACCCTATATCAACTTACACAAGCATGTGATTAATTTTGACGGTAGAATTACAGGGCATCATATTTTATTAAGAAGCTTGAAAGATAAGTAGATGAAAACATCAAGCAAAGCAAAACCCAGAATTTGCAGACTTCAGTCAGATACGACACAGTATTTCTTCATTGTGCCCCTCCCCCTCCGCCCACTGAGGCCGTATCGCTTTGCACACAGTAGGGGCTGAGGGAAATGTTAATGTGTTAATTTTAGTTAAAACTGCATTCCTCCTACTCTCTTAGTGGCTCGACTTGGGTCAAACTGCAAAGAAACGGAGAATAAAGAAGTCACCACGTAAAGCAAGACCACTGTTTAACATATTTGTTCCTGGGTTTATTATTTTGCTCAAAAGCCCGTGAGGTGACCAGCCCAGAATGTGGCAGTAAACTGTGCTAATCCCATTTATATTTTCAGAGTGGAGATCCAGGTTTTCAAGTTTGTTATGGGATTTCTATGCAAAACAATATGTAAATCTAGAAATTCCGCCTGTTTTCGAAAAGCCCCTGCCCAAGTCACAAACAACTAAGGTTGGCGCCGGGCTCGCCGGGCTCCCAGGCGGAGGGGGAGACCGCGCGGCGGGGCCGGGCCGGGGGCAGGGCTGTCCCGGAGGCGGTCCCGGGGCGGGGCCGGTGACGCGCGCAGTCGGCCGGCTTAGGGGCCGGACCTCAGCCTCTCCCCGCGTCTGGCCGCCGCTGCAGCAGTGGTGGCTTCGCATCTCCAAAAGGGGCCCTCCGACTCCTGGCTGAGCCAGTCGGGCGCTGGGTCGTGGGGCCCCGCACTACTCCAGCTAGTCCCTGAACCGGAGATCCCTTCTCCCCAGAGTTGCGAGCAACTTTCCCCTGTCCCCGGCGCTGCGGTGGCTCGGGGACCGTGGCTGCCCGCCGCAGGTTGCTGAACCCCGGGCCACGCTCCCCGCGCTTCGGCTTTGCGCTCGTGTAGGTCGCTCCCTCTCTGGGTGCACGCTGGGGGTCCGCGACCTCGGCTCTGCGGGCGAGATGCCCCTGGGACACATCATGAGGCTGGATCTGGAAAAAATCGCCCTGGAGTACATCGTGCCCTGTCTGCACGAGGTCGGCTTCTGCTACCTGGACAACTTCCTGGGCGAGGTGGTGGGCAACTGCGTCCTGGAGCGCGTCAAGCAGCTGCACTGCAACGGGGCCCTGCGGGACGGCCAGCTGGCCGGGCCGCGCGCCGGCGTCTCCAAGCGGCACCTGCGGGGCGACCAGATCACGTGGATCGGGGGCAACGAGGAGGGCTGCGAGGCCATCAGCTTCCTCCTGTCCCTCATCGACAGGCTGGTCCTGTACTGCGGGAGCCGGCTGGGCAAATACTACGTCAAGGAGAGGTCCAAGGTAGGACGCGCGCGGGCGCCCTGCCGCAGCTGCCGCCCGCGGGGGCGCGAGGCATTCCGAGTCCCTTGTATGCCGCCTTCACGGGGCTGCACGCAAACTTTGGTTTATAACCAAGAAGTCAGCCTGGTTTATCTCTCCCCCCTACCTCGTCCCTACCCGCCTGCCCCAGCCCCTCTGAGTGAAAGTCCACATTAGGGGCTCAAATGTATCATTACGATGACCTTCTGTTGACTTTGAAATAATGTGGGTGGTAAAAGTCAGACAAGCTGTGGCTTTAGTCCAGTTTTAAGACATGGAGGTTCTCAAAGATTCAAACGAGAGAAAGGATGTTGTTCTCAAAGATTCAAACGAGAGAAACGATGTTAGAAACGTTGTGTGTGATCCGTGATGCACCTGCACTCATGATCTTAAATGTTGTGGTCAGAAGGGGTCCCTGCTAAAGCACTCTGAAGTTCTTGAGGCAGTTGTGATTTTGCAATGTGGCAGTTGGTTTGTGGAATTTGGCAGGTGTGGGAAGGAAGAGTTTGACACATGAAGGGTAAAACACTCACTGCTGAGTGTTGCCTTTGCCATCTTGGACCCAGGATACTTATTACAGCATCTACTTGACTGAAAATTCTCTCCTGGTGCAGAGCCCTACACCACCCCCTTCCTTTTGCTAACTATCAATTGATAGCAAAATCCACTCTAAACAACCATTTAAGTGCTCATGAGTCTAGTCAAGCACCTCTGGAAAGAAACTGTGTTTTTGTTCACAAAGCCCGAAGTGACTCCCTGGGTGGTAATTTATCTTGGAAACATTTACAGGTAGATGTGCAGAAAAATGGGAACAAGCAGGTACCATGATGTTGGTGCGTGTACATTACTTTGGGGTGGCCTTACTCAGCCTTTCCTCAAGTGACAGTCCAGCAAGTTTTCCAGTGGCAATTCTTAGTGGTTTGTACTTGTGTTGTGGTCTGGGCAAGGGGCACTCAGAACTAGGGAAAACTTTTACTGAAACCCAGTGAAGCAAAGCATACTGGCATGAGAACATTCACTTATATAGCACTCTTTGATAACACATGGAGCATTTCTCAATTTCAGGTTGATCCTGTGATAAAACAAACCATTGTTGTCTCACTTCTCCACCAAGCTGAGAGGAACACTCTCTCAGCAGAGAGGTAAAGGGCAGGTGGTAAAGACTGAAAACATGTAGATGTGAAGGGGTTGACATGGGCCAGTGGGGTGGGGAGACAGATGACTGTGCACCTTTCCAGCCAGGAGGACATGAATTGAATACCTGAAAGCATCCTTATTAACGCACACTATAAAGATAATTTTAGAAGAAAATGCTGCTTTCTAAATTTTACTTTGGGAAAAAATTCAGTGTTCGCTGAACTCTGCAGAAGATCGCTGTTAAAGTGTTTCTTTTCTCTTCTTCTGTTGTTTTAGTGGTGGATTAGAAAGTCATTTGTCTTTGATTAGTTTGGTTTTTGCACTAAATGACCTTGCTTGTCTCCTGAGGTGGCAGAGGGGGAGAGTTAGCTTCAAGGTTGCTGAAGTGTTTGTAGAGTTAAACTGGAAGAGCTGATTTTAAATGTTTCTTCCAAACTCAGGTGTTAGAATTTCCCTTCCATGTTGTAGGGACAGAATTTGCTCTAAGAGAGGTCAGAATCAATTGGTAGAAATAGGTCACAGATTTGAAAGTCAAATATTTTCATTTAGCTTTGACTTAATAGATCGGGGTATGGTTTCAGGCTAGAGTTTAACTCAAATGGAATGAAAAGCACTGTGTAAGACAGGGTAAGGAAAAAAAAGATCTGTAGCTATGATCCCTCGATTCGGGTTATCTTTTGGGTAGAATAACTTTTCAGCTAACCCTATCAGAAGGTGACTGTGAGTTGAAAAGAGAAAATTCATCCTGTTTCATACCCAGATTTCCAGCTTTATTTTGGCTGGGTTGGCACAAAGCTTTTCATTCCTGCCCTTTAGATAAATCACCTCTAGATTGGAATAATCTCTGGCCAATCAGAACCAAATGCAAACCAGGCTTGCGCAAACATTTAGCATAGTAAGTAATTTTTTTTAAAGTTTGATCTGTTTGTGTAGAAAAGTCTCCTTAGCGATGCCTTGTGGCCTTGAGTCTCTTGCTTGAAGTTCATTGTTAAAGTATTGTAGAAATACATTCCATTTCTACATTATTTATATTAGTTTGACCTTAATTTAACCCCTTTTCTTTATTACTTGACTGTCTTCCCTCAACAGAGTCCCTTATTTTGTGCCGCTTCCCAGAGCAGAGCTAGACCCATTTTCCTGCTGCATCCTTCAAGCAGGTTTTCAGTACAAACCAAATTTTTAAAAGACAATGTGTACATAGATTTTAAATTTATTTGTAAGTTTTTATTAAGGAAAATTTTAAACATATGTACATAGGCTAATTAATGAGCTCCCATCATCCAATTTCAACAGTTGCCCATATATAGATTTGTTTTAGACCAATTGTTTTTTAGCTACTTTAGATTTTGGAGGGTGTGCTTATTAATGCATCCATCCTAATTAAATACTTTTTGTTTTTTGCTGGATTGTGAAAGGTCATTGAATAATACTGCCCTTTATCTCAATGAAGCAATAGCAAAGGCATTGGGAATGAAACTTGAAATTGTGGAAGAGTATAGAAAGAAATAGTAGATGGTCCCTCTCCCTGCCAAAAAAGTTGTTAATGGTCAGAATTTCCTACTTTATCCTTGCTGGAGAAAAATCTAAGGTGCTGAAGACCCTCTGGGGAAGTGGTTTCCTGTCTTGTACAGCAGAATGGCGCCCCCTAATTTCAAGCATGATCATTGCTGTCAGACTAGCAAAGGATTTATCTGTTACTCCCTTTGAGAGGTTTTAGACCATATCCAAGATAAATGCTGGTCATAATTTGCTTCTTTTTCTTTGGCTGCCTAGATCTTGAAAATGGCTGTTTTCCAGAGAATGTGTAATTTATAGAACCAAAAGTGCCTCTGTTCGAAGCAGCTCGCTGTAGATTCACTAGTTAATAGTGCTAATAATAACAACTACCTTTTATTGATGAGTTTGCTCTGTCTGGTACTATGCTAAGCTCTTTACAAATACTATCTTACTTAACTTTAGGAACCACAATCTTAAACAAATTGAGTGATTAAATTAATTTGCCCCAAATCTTAGAGTCAATGGTAAGAAGCAGTTTATAAATAGGGGTTGGAAGTTTAGGCTTGGAGTTACTAACCTTGTGGCCTTAGACAAGTTGCTTAGTTTTCACCAGGTGTAATATGAGGGAAAATAATCTCTTAAGGCTTTTAGAGGGAAGGGGCATTAAAAAAGAGAATTTACATAAAGTTCTTAGCAGAATTCTGAGACTCATCAATGTTAGAAGGGGGCTCCAAGGGGGAGATTTGGGATTCCAACCCAGATCTGTCTGATTCCAGAGGCTGTGTTCTTCCCTATGATGCCCTCCTGCTTTCATCCTTTCCTTTACTCAGCAAGTGTTTGTGGAGTGTTCACTCGGTGTGGGGTACCGCACAGGGGTAGGGAAGCCACTGTGAAGGAGCTCACCTTCACATATACTTTTGAATGGTAGGATCCTCTAGTTCACACTTGACTAATTCTCAAGCTTAAAACAAAGCAAAAAAAAAAAAAAAAAAAAAGAAACCCACAAAAAAACCAAAACCAAAACCAAAAAACCCCAAACATTGAAGTGGGCCAGTTGAGTACATTTGAAAAGGAAATGGAGAGGTGTGCTAGTGTTTTCCTTCTGTTATTTTTAGGAAAAGTATTTATTAACAAGGTTGTTGTGAGGACCCCTGACTGGAGTAGCTTTGGACAGTAGTGTTGTAAACAGAATATTCCTCCTCTGGAAACAATACAGAGGAATGATGAAACAGCAAAAAGTTTGTGAATAAAAAAGTGTGTTGCAAGGTGGTGTATTTATTCCTCTGCTGTTGAGCAATAACAGTCTGGCCCACTCTTCTCATGGGATGTCAGGAATATCCATTACTTAATGGAGCTTATTGTTATGGTTGCAAGCTACTTTAAGCAAAAATAGGATAATGTACTGCAAAGATCAGGGTAGCTTATGGGAGCTGGGTGCAGAAAATGCAATCAGGGTTCTCAGAAGACTAGAGCCATGAACAAGGAACCAGAAAGTCCTTAACATCTGGGGCAGCTGGTGTGTTAGCTCTTTTCTCTGCAGCTTTATGGCCTCCATCTTTGCTTCCTTGCTTGTGCTGTTTATTTCTTCCCTGCTCTTCAATCCAGCTTTTGCTGCTGTTCCATGCCCATGGCTCAAGATGGCCACCCCATAATGGCCCCTTCTACCTAAAGTTTGAGATGAGTAGAGACTTAAGTAACATTCCAGAATCCCTGTTTTCATTACCTGGGAGAAAGTTTGGTCGTCTTACTTGGCTCGGAGGACCTATCAGCCTTGGTTGGGGGTGGAGGGGGCATGTAGAATCATATGTGACAACTATGGTGCTTAAGATGATATCTTGAGCAGGTCCTTGAGAGGGGAATAGGGTACATATTGGGCCCGAGAAAACGGGCTTTAATAGAGAGGCTCCACCCCCATGGCTGGGGTTGCTCCAAGAGTCTGGTAGACTGGGGCCCAGGGTCAGTAGGTAGGTTAATTCAGCTGCATCAGCATTTTATTTGGGAATTTTGAATATAATTCTGACTGAAAATTGATAAATCCCCTTAGGTGGAGTTACGTGGCCTATCTTTCCATTTGGCTTTTGAGTGTCATGAATTATTTTTCTGTCTCACCTTTCTGCTTCAGCTCAAGCAACATTGGTAAATTTTTTTCTGATTTCTGATTCTGGCTAGAAAAACTTGTAATTTTGGAAATAACAAACAAATAGCCTAGTATCTTACAACCCCACTCTGAGAACACACCACGTATGAAAGACTTCTGTTTGCTGGGCGTGATGGCGCATGCCTGTAGTCCTAGCTACCCTGGGAGGCTGAGGCAGGAGGGTCGCTTGAGCCCAGAAGTTTGAGGCTTC